GGCAGAAAGTTAAAATCTGGCATAAACATACTAAAATAAAAAGCTTCGTCCATGTAGTTGAAAAATCACAAAAACTTAGAAAATCTATTGAAGGTCTAGCATAAAAAAATTGCGTAGCAGTGGTTTAAGTTGATCGTCACAATCATGGAAGACATTCGCGACTTCTATTAAGAGAATAGGAAACCTCGCATTCCTTATCTCTCAGTCGTGCTATTTATATATGCCAATAAATGGCAGACAAAAATGAATGGGAAACTCTATTGGAACTGGAATTTCATTATAACAAAAGAAAATGTAACGAATGCACTCCATTTCCAAACAGAACTATTGCCTGCATTTCCAAAAAGAGTAACTTCACTTCCCTCTCCGTCAAGAGTTCATTAGTATGTGAAGAAGCATCTTTTTTGTTCGAAATGCTTAGTGGGATTAGAAAGCATTTCTATTTTCACTCTTCTACAATACAAAGAATCCTCTTTCGCTTTAATCTAAAAAAAGCTTTGGCATAATAATTCAACATACCAATGAAGATAAGTAGTTATTAAATCTATCCTATTTTCTTATTAAAATAATATCCAATAAAAGCAGCACGTGTCGCAGAAGTAATCTTCGATAAGCAGCGCTTGCTTCCTAACATATACTGAAGAAAAATAAGTAGTGACGCAAATACTATCGCAAGCTGCGTTTACGTTTATTACTAAATTTTGATCGTTAAAATCAGCTAAGAACATATATATATATATATACAAAATTTAGCACACACATATACAGGTTTTTACACCAAAAGAAGGCGTAAAGAAGGGAGTAAAAGAATAGTTTAGATTAAGAATTTATTCGTTTTATTCGTCCTAACCATAAAAACAACCGAGGTAGATAAATAAATAAAGATATGGGGCGCCTGGCCTTTTCTAAAATAAGAACGGTTATGGATGCCTGTCTTTTCTTCTTTTTTCTTTCTAACACAGCCGAGACTAGTCATATAGGAGACCAATCAACAAATTACTTGTTGTTTTATCGACTCGAGAATAATATAATCGCTTCTCTTCTATTTTTGTTAATTATTCTTTACTTCGACATCGTTATTTTGATTTTTTTTTTTTTTTAATTTAAAAATGAATGACAATAAACCATAAGTTAATAGGTCAAATGAAAAGTGCACAGTTTTCTATACTCCATGTGCATGGTTAAACTAATAAATGAAAATGTGCCTACACCAAACACTGTACAATTCATGTCCAAATTCGCTTCGCTTTTGTTGACATGAAATTCATCATGTCGTTTATTTGCGTATATTATTCACAAGACACCGTTGAAAGCCGGAATAATAAAAATGTAAAACACAAAAGTTGCAAAATAAATGAAAATAGCGCTGATACGAACATATTCTTAAAGCAAAGTGCAGTCAAACACACATATTGTAATATATTGTAAAAGAAATTGTAATCGAAAGAAAAGAAATATTTGAAACAGAATATATAAAAAGTTTGCTTTGTATTTGTTGATTAGTTTTAGTCTAACATATGAAATGAGATCACGCTCTATCTGAAAATCGGATCTAATTCAATAAAATTAATCACACATTCACATAGTGTACACAAAACGGTTAATTGATTAATTAACATTGAAAACTATTCCTGAACAAATAAGATGGAAATGTAAGCAGTACAGGAAAATAAAATGTATAGAAAGACGATGGTTATAAATTAAGAAAAAATGTGATACTCTTCGTATGAAGTCAGCTTTCGATACTCACTATTTCACCAGAAAAAGTGTTACATATATATACATGGCAACTCGCGAATGGGGATTATTTTGTAACGCCTTTTAGATAAAAGTGAACTTTTCAAAAAAATGTTTCTCGAATTTTTAATTCGCTCAGTTTTTTAGTCTATCCTACGGCGGATAGACCAGTGCAGTGACGTCACTTTAGAATGTTTCTGATTAATAATGTATACATTTCAATAGATCTTTTACTTACACATTAGAAGGTAAAGACAAGGCATCTATTCTTCGGTAGCGGGTTACAAGAATATGTGTAATAATAGTAATAATAATAATAATAATAATAATAATAATAATAATAATAATAATAA